ATTTTTATTTAAAGTTTATTTATTTGTTTGTTTGCTTATTTTTTACTAATCTCTACACTCAATGGGCTCAAACTCACAATTCACAACCCTGAGATCAAGAGTCACATGCTTTATGGACTGAGCCAGCCAAGTGCCTCTAAATTTTTTTTTAACTATCGAAAAGTGCCTTTTAACTCCTGAAACATTTAGAACTGGATAGTGAGAAGGCCGTAAATCAAACCAAAAATATCAATGCTTTTGATTTAAGATCATGAATAGGTTTTAGTAATTATGCAACCAATGATTTTGAAGTATCTGTTATTTTAATTTTCAAAAATTATTTTTTACTTTAAAAAGTACTTGTAGGGGCGCCTGGGTGGCTTAGTCGGTTGGGCGTCCGACTTTCGCTTAGGTCATGATCTCGCGGTTCGTGGGTTCCAGCCCCGCGTCGGGGTCTGTGCTGACTGCCAGCTCAGAGCCTGGAGCCTATTTCAGAGTCTGTATCTCCCTCTCTTTCTGACCCTCCCCTGCTCACTCTGTCTCTCTCTCTGTCTCTTAGAAATAAATAAAAATATTAAAAAAAAAAAGAGGACATATATAAAATTAAAAACAACTTAAAAAAAAGTACTTGTAATGTTTTAATTTGCATGTTATCTACGATTAGACAGACTATACATTTATGATTCCAAATGTGTAACTAAGGAATTCATTTTGGATATGTGGCTTTTATTATTTTTTTAACTTTGAGAGAGAGGGAGAGACAGAATGCAAGCAGGGGATAGGAGCAGAGAGAAAGAGAATCTTTTTTTTTTTTTCACACTTACTTATTTTTGAGAGACAGAGAGAGACAGAATATGAGCAGGGGAGGGGCAGAGAGAGGAGACACAGAATCTGAAGCAAGCTCCAAGCTCTGAGCTCTAATCAGTCGCGGGGCTTGAACTCATAAACCATGACATCATGACCTGAGCCAAAGTCTGATACTTAACTGACTGAGCCACCCAAGCGGCCCAAGAGAATCTTTTTTAAATTTTTTTAAAAAATTTATTGTTGAGACAGAGAGAAACAGAGCATGAGCGGGTGAGGGGCAAAGAGAGAGAGAGAGACACACAGAATCCAAAGCAGGCTCCAGGCTCTGAGCTGTCAGCACAGACTCAAACCCACGAGCTGTGGGATCATGACCTGAGCTGAAGTTAGACACTTAACCTACTGAGCCACCCAGGAGCCTCGAGAAAGAGAATCTTAAGCAGGCTCCATGCTCAGCACAGAGCTCAACATGGGGCTGATCCTACAGCCCTGACATCATGGCCTGAGCTGAAATCAAGAGTTGGATTATCAAATGAGACACCCAGGTCCCCCAGATATGTGACTTTTTAATTGAAAGAGATGGCTAACTTAATTTTACTAAGTTTATAAATAATATTAGAATATTTACAAAGCTTTAAGAATAAAAATATTTATGTTTAAGTTACTAGATATACTAGAAGGATTTAAGCAATTGGGAGGTTTTTGTTTGTTCGGGCAACTACAACGCTAAAGAAAGAAAATCAAAGGCACCTGGCTGGCTCAATTAATACAGCATGCAACTCTTTTTTTTCGTTTAGTTTAGTTTTTATTTTTTATTATTATTTTGTTTTTTATTTGAAAGACAGAGAGAGCATCAGCTGGGGAGAGGCACAGAGGGAGGGAGGGAGAGAATCCCAAGCAGGCTCTGCACTGAATGTGGAGCCCAAGGGAGGACTTGATCCTACAACCCTGGCATCATGACCTGAGATGAAATCAAGAGTTAATTGCTCAACCAACTCAGCCACCCAGGTGCCCCAGGATGCAACTCTTGATTCTGGAGTCATGAGTTTGAGTCCCACATTGGATGTAGAGATTACTTTAAAGACGAAAGGAAAGAAAGGAAAGAAAGGAAAGAAAGGAAAGAAAGGAAGAAAGAAAGAAAGAAAGAAAGAAAGAAAGAAAGAAAGAAAGAAAGAAAGAAAGAAAGAAGAAAGAAAGCAAGAAAGAAAGGAAAGAAAGAAAGAAAGAAAGAAGAAAGAAAGCAAGCAAGAAAGAAAAGAAAGAAAGAAAGAAAGAAAGAAAGAAAGAAAAGGAAAGTAAAGAAAGAAGAAGAGAAAGAGAGAGAGAGAGAAAGAAAGAGAGAGAGAGAGAGACGCCTGGCTTGCTCAGTAGGAGGAGTATTTGATTCTTGATCTCAGGGTTATGGATTTGAGCTCCATGTTGGGTGTAGATTACTTAAAAACAAAATCTTTAAAAAAAAAAGAAATTTGTAAATGTAAAATATTTAATGGTATGTTGTTAATAGACCAATAATTAAAAGGATCCAGTTTGTTCAACTTAAGTTGACTGAACATTAAACTCACTGAACATTAGTTAATAGGATGTATAAGTTGAACTTAAAGGTTTAAAGGAAAACTATTTTTTCTTTTAATTTTATTTTAACTAATTGTTAATTCAAAAATAATAAGTAGCCTTTCTACATTAAAAAGCTTCTCTGACTGATAATTTCACAGTGATAAATATGTAGAATAAGGACAGAATATAGAGATCTTTAACTGCTAACTGAGAAGTATGACTCCTAACTTTTATCAATTCAACTGTGATAGAGGTGTTTTTGTTTTTAACTTGTAATATCAAGGGAGACAGTAGAATGGTTAGGATATGAACTCTGCAGCCAAAAAGCTGCATATTATGACTTCACTTTCTAGCTGTGAGATCTGTGGACAAGTTACTTCACCTTTCTGTGCTTCAGTTTCATCCTTAGTAAAATAAAGATAAAAATAATATCTAATAGTGGATTTATGTAGACTAAGTAAGTTGACACATTTAAAGCATGTGGGGCACCTAGTAAGCAGTTAAAAATATAAATTTTTTTTAATGTTTCATTTATTTTTGAGAGAGAGACAGTGTGAGCAGGGGAGGGTCAGAAAGAGAGGAAGACAGAATCTGAAACAGGCTCCAGGCTCTGAGCTAGCTGTCAGTACAGAGCCTGATGTGGGGCTCGAACCCACGAACTGTGAGATCATGACCTGAGCCGAAGTCAGACGCTTAACCGACTGAGCCACCCAGGCGTCCCAAAACTATAAATTTTTTAAAAATCCATCTAGGTGGCGTCTGGGTGGCTCAGTCGGTAGAGCATCCTACTTCGCCTCAGGCCATGATCTCGTGGTTTGTGGGTTCGAGCCCTGTATCAGGCTCTAAGCCTGGAGCCCACTTCAGATTCTGTGTCTCCCTCTCTGCCCCTCACCTGCTTGCACTATCTCTCTCTCTCTCTCAAAAATAAATAAACATTAAAAAAAAAATTTCTTTTTGGGGCACCTGGGTGGCTCAGTCGGTTAAGTGTCCGACTTCAGCTCAGGTCATGATCTCACAGTTCGTGGGTTCAAGCCCTGCATCAGGCTCTGTGCTGGCAGTCAGCTCAGAGCCTGGAGCCTGTTTCAGATTCTGTGTCTCCCTCTCTCTCTGACCCTCCCCTGCTCATGCTGTCTCTCTCTCAGAAATAAATAAAACATTAAAAAAAAATTTTTTTTAATTCTTTTAATCCATCTGGGAAGGGGGGGGTGAAGGGACAAAATGGATGAAGGAAGTCAAAAGATACAAAATTCTATTTATAAAAATAAGTAATGTACAGCATGGTGACCATAATTAATACTACCATATTGTATATTTTAAAGTTGCTAAAAGTAAATCTTCAAAGAACTCATCACAAAAAATAAAAGAAAAAAAATGTTTCTAACTATATATGGTGACAGACGGTAAACTATACTATGATCATTTTGCAATGTATATGAATATCAAATCATTACACTGTATACTTGAAACTAACATAATGTTAAACGTCAATTATACCTCAATAAAAAAATAAACAAATAGAGCAGATTGCTTTATTGGGTGGGCTTCATTCGATCAGGGAAGAACTGAAGAGAAAAAGCTTGAGTAAGAAAAAACTCCTCCTGCCTGACTATCTCTGAGCCTAGACATGAATGCTCTCCTGCCTTTTGACTCAGACTGAAGTACTGGCTCTTCCTCAGTCTCAAACCTTCCAACATTTATACTGAAACTACACTATTGGCTTTCCTGGGTCTCCATCTTACCAACTATAGATCTTGGGAATTGTCAGCTTTCACAATCACATGATCCAATTCCTTAGAATAAATCTCTTTTCTCTCTTTCTCTCTCTCTACACACACACACACACACACACACACACACACACACACACACAGAAAGACAGGGATTAAAGGGAGAGTAGGAAAGATTTATATATCTGTATGTATTTCTTTATAAGTACACATAAGACTGAGTCCTAAGGAAAAATTTAAAGTTTCAGAAGAGAATGTGCTCACAGAAAATACTTAGACATCAGTAAGCAATGTCAGGAAAGTGTGGTGTCACAGAAGTCAAATGAAGAGGTATTGTGAAGAATGGAGGAGCCAAGAGTATTGCATAAGGTTGTAAGAACTGGTAAAAGAATATTACACTTTGGCAGATGGAGATCCTTGAGCGTGAGAAAAGAAACCTATAGAAGGATCACCATATCTAGTAAAGTGAAAGACTACCCTAATAAATAATTCTCTCAAGACTGATTGGTTCATATCACAATCAAAGATTGAAAGAAAACATGAAAATAAAGAGTACTCTATACATAATTTTAAAAATCGGCAACTTTTCTAAAATGGTGTCCACCTTGTACATAGCATTTCACTGTATTACCATGTTAGAAATAGATCTTAATATAATTTTTTGTATCATTAAACTCATTGCCTGCAAAGAAAGTGCCAAAATTCCTAAAAAGGTTTACAGAAAATCTAATTCAAATTTTAAAAATTAAAACAAATTCAAAAATACTTACTGAACTTTTATAATGCACAAATTAATCACAGTGATCATTTGACTGCTTCTGTTTTCATATTGTTTCAGTTTACGGACAAATTTAACATTCTTTCATCTAGTCTTTTTAATAATCGAAAGTGAAGAATCTAGCTCTTGGCTTTTGTAGTCAACTGCTTTGTACTTACTTTGTTTCCCAAGTGAGTGATCTTCAGAGTACCATCTTGCCACACTTTTGACTTCTTCATTTTTTGGTGAGTATATAGTACCTTATTTCCAAAAGTACAAAAGAAATGGTTTCCTTTTACATGTATTAAATGTTATATATTTTTATACCCTTCCTACAAAAAATATTTAGACATCTTTTATCAAAACAAAAGATATCATAATAATAACAACAAAACATCAGGGTGTCTGGTTGATTCAGTTGATACAGCAGACAACTGTTGATCTGGGCAGTGTGAATTCAAGCCCAACACTGGGCATAGAGCTTACATTAAAAAAGATAATAATAATAAATAACAACAAAACATCAATTTAAAAAAAAACTTGGTAGTAAAAGTCAAAGTAGGGAAGAAAGGAGAAATAAAATCTAAGGAGGAAACTAAGAAGGCAACTGAACAATTTTGAGGGGCACCTGGGTGGCAGAGTCACGTAAGCATCCAACTCTTGATTTCAGCTTCGGTCATGATCCCAGGGTTGTGGGAATGAGACCCAAATTGGGCTCTCTGCCGAGTGTGGAACCTGCTTAGGATTCTCTCCCCTCCGCCCCTATCCCTCTCCCCGGCTCGCATGCATGCTTATACACTCTCTGTCTCAAAAAAAATAATAATAACAATGATAATTTTGAGTTTCTCAGTCATCAGCGGGAAGAGAAATATTTGTTAAGTTATACATAAGTCATGGTCTGTGCTCAAAATGTAGTCAAAAGACTCCTAGAAGTCCCCAAGACCTTTTCAGGGGTCTGTGAGGTCAAAACTATTTTCGTGATGGTATCTGCCTTTACTCTCATTTTTTAGAGCATACACAATGGTGTCTCCCAGGGTTATGTATATGCAATGCTGCAAGACTCAATTTCAGACTGAACGCAGAGGCAGATCTGAGAATCTAGCAGACTTCTATTAAGTCAACTGTTAGGAGGATTTGCAAAAAATGTACAGCAATGCTACTCTTTTCAATGTGTCTTCTTCTGTTGTTGTTTTGGAAAATATAGCTATTTGTATTTTTTAAAAAGATGATTTATGTTCAATGTAATATATTATTTTTAATGAATTAACAAACAGTTTTTAAATTTGTTCCAATTTCCCATATGAAAGACATCAATAGACATAAGCTCCATAATCAAAAATTCCCTGGGGTCCTCCATAATTTTTTAGAGCATAAAAGGATCCTAAGACTAAACACTTTAAGAATCACTAATCTAGGGGCGCCTGGGTGGCTTAGTCGGTTAAGCGTCCGACTTTCGCTTAGGTCATGATCTCGCGGTTCGTGGGTTCGAGCCCCGCGTCGGGCTCTGTGCTGACTGCCAGCTCAGAGCCTGGAGCCTATTTCAGAGTCTGTATCTCCCTCTCTTTCTGACCCTCCCCTGCTCACGCTGTCTCTCTCTCTCTCTCCTAGAAATAAATAAAACATTAAAAAAAAAATTAAAAAAAAAAAAAAGAATCACTAATCTAGATAGAAGAGGCCTGCCAATTCTTCAAAAGAAATTATTTCCTGGTCCTAACAAAATGCTTACAAAGTGTTTGTTCTAGAGGATTCTGTATAATAAACCTGAATAGTAGGCAAAAGACAGGGTTGCCAGGTAAGACATAAGGCAGTATTTGAGACATGGATACTTACACCAAAAAGTTATTCACTGTTTATCTGATATTCAAATTTAACTAAGTGTCTTGCTTTTAGGTTCTGAGGTTGTTTGTTAAATCTGTCAGCCCTAGAGAGACATTTGTGAAATGTGGAAGGAAGAATAAGGAAACAGTGGCGCACTTGGCTGGCTCAATGGGTGGGGCCTGCGATTTTTGATCTCAAGGTTGTGAATTACTGCCTCAAGTTGGGTGTAGAGATTACCTGAAAATAAAATCTTAAAAAATAATGATAATAAAATAAAGAAGATTTTAAAAAAAGAAAAAAGGAAATAGTGAAAACTGGTAAGACTCACAATAAATTCCTGGCTGTCCATTATTTCTTCCGAAATTATAAAACCAGGTAGGTCCAGAAAATAACCGTGGTTATTCAATTATTTATACCACCTAAAATGAAAACAAAGAACATTCAAGCCTGATGAAAAGAATAAATATCAAACACAACTGTTTTCCACAAACTCTTGACAGGAGAGAGAAATCTAAGAGTTCTAAGACTCTTAGAATTACCAAGGGAAACATAAGATATAATCAAGTTATCTGATACTAAGTGCATAAAAAAAGAGTGACCCTACTCTGTGGAAAAATAATTTGCCAAGAAAAACTAAGAGAAAAGTAAGTAAAATATACAAAATAGTATGTTATAAAATACATAAAATAATAAGACTATTAATATATTAATATATAACTATATATCATATATAAAGTAGTAGTGTGGAACGCTTTTTCCAGGTGCCATAACATGTATCAGAAAATGATCTTCCCCTAACAATAGAGATCTTATGGAAAGAGCTTCAATTTTCCATTTTCTGAATTGCTACTGGCACCACAAGATGGCCCCCTTTCGTTTTGAATTTTTCCTTTTACATCTTAAAGTCAATATATCATAGTATCCAGGAACAAATATACAAATTTCCTCTGCAAGGAATAATCTTTTCAATATTGTTGCAACAATATTGCAATGAGTACTGTAGTTGTCCTATGCTACTGGATAAAATTGTGACTGTGGGCAAATTTGGAAATCTAAAATTACTGATGGTGAATTGAAGAAGTAAATAGAGATGCCAAAGAAAAAAATTTCTAAAGCATTGGTTCCAAAGGTATGAACCCTGGACCAACAGGATAACATCACCTGAGAACTAGTTAGAAATTCAAAGTCTTGGGTCCCACCCTTGACCTATGAAATCAGAAAGGCTAAGGTCAGGCCCAGTACTTCGTTTTAACATGCCCTGCAAGTGACAGTGATATATGCTTAAGTTTGAGAACACAGGGCTAAACCATCCAGGATGATTCAATAAAACTGTAATTTGCAATTCTAGATTCAAATCCCCCTTCATACCTACAAAATATACCACTTACATATTATATATAAATTACATGTTTATTTCGTCTTTCCCTTAGTACTTGCTAGACCCTGTTCTAAACTGATGTACTAAAATGAACAAAATACTATTCCTAAACAAGGAATTTTCAGTATAGCAGGGTGATAATCAGTAACTGGAATAAACCATGACAGAAATAAACACAGGAGGGACACCTAACTGGATCTAAGGACATTAAATAAGGCTTCCCAAAGAACATAATGCCTAAGCTGTAAGCTGAAATAACCATAACTGAAAGAAGATGCCAGAAATTTATTTCCAAAATGTAATCAATACATACAAGGGCCTGTGAAAGATACAGCAAGGTATGATTAAGGAACTCAATACAATTAAAGAGTCAAGTTAAGCTAGTGAATAGTGAGAGAGAAGACTGAAAAAATGAGAAATCATAGGATTCAGATGGCCTTCTATGCTATGCTGAGTTGTTTGAACTTTGTATAAAGGAAGTGGGAAGGGTAGGGTTTTAAGAATAAGATTACATAGATTTTACAGAGATTGTTCTGCCTGCTGAATGGCGATGGGGGGATAAGGGATTAGGCAAACGAGATATGAATACTTGCCCCACAACACAGCTCACAGGACAGGACACAGGCCTACAGAGGCACTGTCTTTCAGAGATAAAACCCCCATATCCTACATCCCTCCCCTCAAGCCCACAGGAATTGCTAAATGCCTAATGAATGCCAAGAAGATAACAGACGTCCAGAGAAACACATCTTTCACTATTGTTTTACAGCAACTTGCTCCCAGCCACTGAAAGTGATGGACATTCTACATATGTAGAGACTACACGGTGTAGGCACAGCGCTGGGCCTGTGGCAGTGATTGACAGGAGACTGCTTTAATAACAGCTATCACTTGTTCAGTGCAATTATGTGCTACACATCTAACATGCTTTAAATGCTCACAACCCTATGGTATAGATTCCAATTTTTACATTATTTTACAAAAAAGGAAACAAAAGTACATAACAGCAAGTAATTTGCCCAAGATCACAAAATAAATGGCAGATTCAGAATTCAAAACTAAGTAGTTTAGGGCTCCTGCCCGGCTCAGCCACTACAGCATGCATGCAACTCTTGATCTCCAGGTCGTGAGTTGAAGCCCATGTTGGGCATAGAGTTTACTTTAAAAAATAATAATAATAAGTTTTTCGGGGCACCTGGGTGGCTCAGTCGGTTAAGCGTCCGACTTCGGCTCAGGTCATGATCTCACAGTTCGTGGGTTTGAGTCCCACATCAGGCTCTGTGCTGACAGCTCAGAGCCTGAAGCCTGTTTCGGATTCTGTGTCTCCCTCTCTCTGACCCTCCCCTGCTCACACTGTCTCTCTCTCAGAAATTTAAAAAAAAAAAAAATTAAAAATAAATAAATAATAAGTTTTAAAAACTAAGCAGTCTAAATCCTGGCACTCATAATCACAAATATGACGTAACTATTCATTGAGTGCCTACTATGTCAGGCAGGAATTAGACTAGATAACTTATATAAAATTTATATATAATATTTGTCAGTCACAGAATCCTGAAGAATAGATCACCACAACATATAGATTAGGAATAAGGTATTTACTAATTTAGGATTACTTATACCCTACTTAAGAATTGCAAGATGAATCCCCTTGTCTTCCTAAATTTGAGATATTAATTGAGGGATTTACAATTTAAAAGGAATTGTAAAGAGCCATACTCTCAGAAGTGTAAGTTAGATAATAAGAAAAAGACTAGCTTAAAAAAAAAAAAAGGCTAACTGTATTTAAAAATATTGAGAGAGGCCTGGGGCACCTGGCCTGGCACCTGGGGCTCAGTCAGTTAAGCATCTGCCTCTTGATTTCAGTTCAGGTTGTGGTTCATGAGTTTGGGCCCCACATGAGGCTCCTACTGACAGTGAGGTGGCTACTTAGGATTCTCTCTCTGTCTCTCTGTCCCTCTCTCTCTCTCTCTCTGCCTGTCCCTCACGCATGCAGGTGCACACACTTACTTTCCTTCGCAAAATATTTTTTTTTTAAAAGAAGTGTTAATAACTATTCTTCTTAAACTGTTCCAAAAAATAGAAATGGAAGGAAAACTTCCAAACTCATTCTACAACACCGGCATTACTTTGATTCCAAAATCAGACAAAGACCTCACTAAAAAGAAAAATTACAAGCCAATATCTCTGATGAACATGGATGCAAAAATTCTCAACAAGATACCAGCAAATCAAATCCAACAGTACATTAAAAGAATTATTCACCATGGTCAAGTGGGATTCATTCTTGGGATGCAAGGGTGGTTCAGTCTTCACAAATCAATCAGCGTGATACACATTAATAAAAGAAAGGATAAGAACTATATGATCCTGTCAAAAGAAGCAGAAAAAGCATTTGACAAAATATAGCATCAATTCTTGATAAAAACTCTCAATAAAGTAGGCATAGAGGAAACATACTTCAATATCATAAAAGCCATATACGAAAGACACAGAGCTAATATCATCCTCAGTGGGGAAAAAAACTGAGAGCTTTTCCTTTACAGTCAGGAACAAGACAGGGATGTCCACTCTCACCATTACTAGTTAAATAGTACTAGAAGGGGGCCCCTGGGTGGCTCAGTTGGTTGCGGGTCCGACTTTGGCTCAGGTCATGATCTCACAGTTTGTGGGTTTGAGCCCCATGTTGGGCTCTGTGCTGACAGCTCAGAGCCTGGAGCCTGCTTCAGATTCTGTGTCTCACTCTCTCTGTGCCCCTCCCCTGCTCATGATCTGTCTCTCTCTGTCTCTCAAAAATAAATAAATGTTAAAAATGTTTTTAAAAAGTAAAAAAATAGTACTAGATGTCTTAGCAATCAGACAACAAAAAGAAAAAAAAAAGGCATCCAAATCAGCAAGGAAAAAGTCAAACTTTCACTATTTGCAGATGACACAATATTGTATGTAGAAAACCAGAAAGAACCCACCAAAAAAATTGCCAGACCTAATACATGAATTCAGCAAAGTCTCAGGATATAAAATCAATGTGCAGAAATCTGTTGCACTTCTATACACCAATAATGAAGCAGCAAAAAAAGAAATCAAGGAATCGATCTCATTTGTAATTGCACCAAAACAATTAGGTACCTAGGAATAAACCTCACTAAAGAGGTAAAAGACCCTCTTGAAAACTGTATAGAACATTTATGAAAGAAAGTGTTTCTTTCCTTGTGAGAAGGGCACAAGGAAATGAAAAGCTTTCCATGCTCAGGAATTGGAAGAAAAAAACATTGTTAAGATGTCTGTACTACTCAAAGCAATCTACATATTCAATACACTCCCTATCAAAAGAACACCAGCATTTTTAACACAGCTAGAACAAACAATCCTAAAATTTGTATGGCACTGCCAAAGACCCCAAATGGCCAAAGCGATCCTAAAAAAGAAAAACAAAACTGGAGGCATCCCGATTCTGGATTTCAAGCTATATTACAAAGCTGTAGTCATCACCAGTATGGTACTGGAACAAAAACAGACACATAGATCAACAGGACAGAATAGAGAATCCAGAAATAAACCCATAATTATATGGTCCATTAATGTTTCACAAAGCAGGAAAGAATATCCAGTGGAAAAAAGACACTTCAACAAATGGTGTTGAGAAAACCAGACAGCAACATGGAGAAAAATGAAACCGGACCACTTTTTACACCATACACAAAAGTAAATTCAAAATGGGGGTGCCTAGGTGGCTCAGTCCGTTAACTGTCCAACTCTTGGTTTTAGTTATGATTTCAGTTTGTGAGTTCGAGCCCCACATCAGGACCCATGCTGGCATCACAGAGCTGGTTTGAGATTCTCTCTCTCTCTGACCCTTCCCAGCTCATGCCAGGTTTGTCTCTCTCAAAATAAATAAATTTTATAAATAAATAAATTCAAATGCAGGAAAGACCTAAATGTGAGGTAGGAAACTATCAAAATCCTAGAAGAGAACAAGCAGAAACCTCTTTGACCCTGGCTGGAGCAACTTCTTACTAGCCACATTGTGGAAGGCAAGAGAAACAAAAGCAAACATGAAGTATTGGAACTTTATCTAGATAAAAAGCTTCTACCCAGGGAAGGAAACAATCAACAAAACTAAAAGGCAGCCTCTGGAATTGAAGAAGTTATTTGCAAATGACATATCTGATAAAGGGTTACTATCCAAAATCTATAACAAATTTATCATACTCAACACTCCAAAAACAATCCAGTTAAGAAACAGTCAGAGGACATGAATAGACGTTTTTCCAAAGAAGACATCCAGATGGCAAACAAGAGACGTGAAAAGATGCTCAACATCACTCAGCATCAGGGAAATACAAATCAAAACCATAAGATACCACCTCACACCTGTCAGAAGGGCTAAAGTAAACAACACAAGAAACAACAGGTGTTGGCCAGGATGTGGAGAAACCGGAACCCTCTTAAATTGTTTGTAGAAATGGTGCAAACTGGTGCATCCACTCTGGGAAACAGAATGGGGGTTCCTCAAAAAGTTAAAAATACCACTACCCTGTAATCCAGCAATTTCAGTAGTAAGTATTTGCCCAAAGGATTTAAAAAAATACAGATTCAAAGGGGTATATGCACCCTGATGTTTATAGCAGCATTATCAGCAATAGCCAAACTATGGAAAAAGCCCAACTGTCCATCAACTGATGAATGGATAAAGATGTGGTGCATGTATACATACATATACACAATGGAGTATTACTTAGCGATCAAAAAGAATGAAATCTTGCCATTTGCAACAAGGTGGATAAAGCTAGAGTATATTATGTTAAGCTAAATAAGTCAGTCAGAGACTTATGGGGGGGGAGGACAAACCACAAGAGACTCTTAAGGACAGAAAACAAACTGAGGGCTGATGGAGGGAGGGAGGTGGGGAACAGGCTAAATGCATGATGGGTATTAAGGAGGATGAGCCCTGGGTGTTGTATGCAAGTGATGACTCACAGGGTTCTACTCCTGAAACCAATATTGTGCTGTATGTCAATTAACTATAACTTACATAAAAATTTGAAAAGAAAAAAAATTCTTATGAATACTTTTAAGAAATTTTTCTATCCACATCAAGTGTTGATCCACCTCCAAAGGGTCAAAGTTTAATGTGCTAGGCTTTTGAAGTGATATGGAGATCTCAGATGTTGTGATTATATAACCAGACACATACAAACACCCCCCCACACACATATATACTCATACATCCTTACACTGCTTTATACATTCATACATAGATTTCAGTATTCTTAATAAAATATGAGTGCCACTTCCTTTTAAATACCACAAGATGTTTTTGGTCTTTTATTTTTGGAAAAGGCAGGGCCTTTAGAATCTCTAAATGGTTCACAGATTCAAAAGTTTGCGTCTTGAACCCAATATCCTGTTTAAGAAACCAGTCAGTCCAAATAACCAAAAGAAACCCACGCTTCATTTACCAAGATAATAATTACCATGATCCTGTGTTAACCAAATGGCAATGAGACTTGCCCCTTTGTCAGTCATAAGAACAAACAGCAAAACTCTCTCTGGTCCTCACACGGATGCGAAAACTGCAGAGCATAGGCTTGGAAAACCGGCGAAGACGAGGCACCAATTTTACAGGGATTCGGAGCAAGTGTGACTGTCACTACCCAAACCTGGTCCACACAGCACTCGGATCAGTCAGCTTCTGGCAATCTAGATTCTTTTCACTCTTTGCCCTAAATCAGTGACGTCGCCTCTCGCTTAAAATCCCCTTGCCTATACACCTTCAATCCCGGGAAAACAGTTCACTTCACCGGTCCACTGCATAAAATCCACTTTCGAATTTCTCCCGCGAAAAACAGTGACGTCACTAACCCGCGACCATAGCAGATCAGGACCCAATGCTCAGCCCGCCCCCTAGAACCAGCGTTTTCAAGCCGCCGAACTTTTCATTGCGAGCCTCCTAGGCCAGCCTCGAACTCCGACGCCCCGCCCCCTGCGCCAGCTCACGCTTGTGACGTCAGCGACGGACGCGCCGTCTCCGGGCTCTTTTCTGAGGCGTACCGGAGAACGGTGTCGCTCGTCCTATGACGCGGAAACCAGGACCTTAAGGATCTGGAGACGAAAACGTTGGAGGACGCAATCACCGGCCCTGTGTTTTGGGAATTGAGCGGAGTAAGTTCCAAGTAGACTGTAGATAGTGTTGCTCAGGTTGAGCGAGGTCTCAGTTTCTCTTTTTTCACGCAGTCCATTTTATCTGTCGTCCCTCTCTCCTCGCCCCCTCCCTGCAAACCCATCAGTTTGCTTGTGTCAGTTCTCTCTGCGCACGCGCAAAAAGTCCTTTGGCAGCCCTTGTAGTTCCAGTTTTCAGAGATTGGGGGCGCGCGTTGTCCGGCGTTGGGAGGTTGGGGTCCCGCTCAGCGTTTGGCGACGTCCTTGCGAAAGGACGGATGCTGAGGCGGGCCATAGCAAAAGTGGAAATTGCTTTACTTCGTCGTGGGCCTCGGCGGCCAAACGATAGCTAGTGCGAGGGCTTGTGTTTTGAAGATAAGTCATTTTGTTTTTCAAGGTTTTAGTTTTTGTCATCAAAGAAACGAAAATCAGTTACGGAAGGGAGCTGACAGAACTGTTAAGTGTAGTGAGTGCGTTAATAGATGCCCTTTAGGGAAAATACGGAAGCAATTAACTGAGAAGTGGTCTTAAAAAGCTACAGGGAGTAAGATGCCAATTAACGTGGGTCTTGAAAATTGAATAGAGGTTTATAAGACAAGACAAAAAGACTAATTCAAAACATGCACACAGGCAAGGGAGTTTTGGTACCGTTGGATGGTCAGCCGTGACTAGAACTTAACGTTTTTGACAATACCATTTCTTCTAAAACCGATAAAAGCAATGGATGAGTTTCCCAGGAAAATTCATGTACATGTCCAAATATTTTGCGTTATTATAATTTTGTCGGGAAATTATGAAGAACCGTGAAATGTCCAAGAAACATAATACTGTATGTATTGTCTAGGTCACTTTTCTAGGTTGTATCTTCCATTGTCATTGAGTTATTTTACTTTGTGTAAATTGTAGAAAACGTTAATCGAAATTAGTCTTACAGTTAAATTAATTTTGCAGTTCTTACCCTGACCAGTTTTACATCTATTAACAAACTCGTTTCAGTGTTCTTGATTGCTTATTTATTTTAATTCTCCTTTAAACTGGTATTTTACTTAATTTTTTAAGGCTCCACTTGTGACCTTGAGATTAAAGGTCGCATGGTCTACCCAGTCAGCCAGATATGTGCCTCCTGGGCTACTTTTTAATACTTAACTAGTTCCTAAAACAGAACGCACACACACACACACACACACACACACACACACAATCCTACTTAACTAGTTCCTTGATTTATTACTTAAAATATTCGATGTGTATTCGTGTTCTATTCACTTATATTTAAATTTCTCTTTTTAAAATATACCTTTTTACAATTTCATAGAATTGGCAAGACTGTTTGAAACCCACCCAAAATTCCATGGACTTTAAGTTAAGAATATCTGAATCAGAAGATAGAATGAATGATGACAGGCTACAAGAGGTTGTACTAAAAGGTAGAAATCAAATTTATCAGAACTTGTTTACCTAGCTAATTTTGGCCAATTCACTTCACCTTTAAGCCTCTGTCAAAACAAGTTGGAAGAAACTACCTGATTGTAATTGTGAGGATTTAAAACAATATATGTAAAGTAACTGACATTGTTAAACAGTAACTTTTATTCTTTAAGGCTCTCTATAGCAATTAGATGTCACTGGTTCAATACTAATTTTTTAATTTTTGTTTTTTTATTACCAATTTTTAAACCATATTATAAGAAAATTCTGAATAATTTTTAATGTTGAAAGTTTTAACATTAAAATCATAAAATTGGATCTGTGTTTTAGACAAGTTACACAGCTTCTGAGAAGGACAGATGATTTCTAGGACCATTTATAAACTGTTCCCATATTAGAGCAACAGTAGTTGTAGAAATTCTGGAGGGAGAGAAGAGCCATTCCAGAAGTTGAATTGATAGGACTTTGTGAAAGATTGATGAATGATAAAATGATAATAACGGTTACGCTTTATGGAAGGAGTGAGAAGGTAGAGTTGGAGAAAGAAGACTGGGACAAAAGTACTGCCATGTAACTTCCTGATTTTCCAGTGGCCATTGCATAGGAAAGTTAAATGGTATCCTATCTTACTACTTTGTATGTCATCCATATCTTCTTCTAATACAAAGGTGTATTTGATTATCTAGAGAATATATTTCTTAAGATAGAAATTGCAGACCTATGTTATACACACTAGGCAAGAGTTTTGGAACTTAATTATCCAAGTCACAAAAATAATCCTTAGGAGAAGGAATGAAGGAGGGTCTCTGAGATGAAAATGATGGGGAAAATTTGGTTTGTGAGAATTGTGACTCTTCACTTATGCAATGCTGTCCTTTGTTTCTTTAGATGGTGGCTCTGACCAGGAAAGGAACTAGAGAGCTGATAGTCTGCCCTTTACTAATTTGGAGTTTTTGCAAAAGAAAAAGTTAACATTGGATCCTGCTGTAATGATAATCTTTAGCTTCCACTTATTTAAAAATTATAATCTTATCCCCTTTCAAAAGAACTTGAAGTGCTTAACATTTTGCAGTTCATGAGAGTCTTTTAAATACTTAATTGTTTAACAAGTGCTTAGGTTGTGATCAATCGAAAGTCCCTGCCTTCATTCATAGTTTTTGTTTTCTGGTGGGGTAGACAGACAGTCAAATTATAATTCCAAGAAGCAACAAGAGGATCCAAGGATACAAAGTGGTGATAGAGGGGATAGATAGGGTTAAGGTTGCCAGGTAAGGAACATTTAAGATTGAGTGAGAGAAAGTCTTTTTGAGAAATTGACATTTATAGAGACCTGAACGAATAGGTCAGATCTCTATCACATCCCTGTGATGTGGTGGGGAAGGGAAACAGCAAGAGCAAAGACCTTGAGATGGGAATGCTCTTAGCATGTGTAAGAAATGATATGTTGTAGTTGGAGTGAACCTGTTGGAAAGAATTGTAAGAATTGAAGTTAGATATCCCCAGGCTAGATAGCATACTGCTTAGTAGGCCATCAATGGATTTTGGATTTTGCGTGTGATTAAAAACCCTTTGAAGGATTTTGTCCAAGAGACTGATGTGCTCTGATTTACATATTTAAATGACTGTGCCGCCTACTATTTAGGGAACTAATGATAATGGAAGAAGAGTAGAGGCAAGCACAAGTTATGTTCTTGTAGTAGTTCAGACAAGACACAATGATAGCATGGCCCAGTTGATAAAAGAAATTAAAAGTATTCATATTCAAAATCTGCCTTATAAAGGTAGAGCTAACAAGAATGCTAATGGATTTTGGCATATGAGGAAAAGAATTAAGGAGGATTTCAGGATTTTTGCTCTCAACAGTTTTGTGATTGGCTTTTTCCAGGATGGTGAAAACAAGGCAAAAAGTGGTTTGTTAGAACTTGAGAGTATAATCTTTGCCATTTCCACATGAGATATACTTAAGGAAATAAGCAGAGATATAAATGGATGATTGAATGTTGGAATGAGGGGAGTAAATGGGAGAACTAAGGGCTGGAGAATATATATCGATTTGTGAAACATCAGCATGGAGCTAAAGAGCTTAAAGCCTGGGACCCTCTGAAAGGATATGTGTGGAGGTAAGAAGGAAGCCCAGGACTAAATTCAGTTCTGGTAGCAGGTAAAGGAAGAACAAAGTAGAATGGTCCAGAAAAGGAAATTGAGAAAGAGGAAAACTTTTCTGGAAGCCAGATGAAGAAAATATTTAGTTTGACTGCAGAGATTGCCAAAGGGTCCAGTAGTCAGTGGAGATCACTGTTTTCAGTTTCACTAGGGTGACGACCAGGGAAGCCTGACAGGATGGGCTGAAGAATGTGGTTGTAGCACTAAATGACACCTGATTGGTTGGTTTGTTTGTTTGAATGATTAATTCTGACAAATAACTCCATTTTATATGCATCTCAATAAATACCTCATTACTTGCGTGTTTTCAAAATTGGTACTTGGTTAATCAGGTCCAGCTTGTTCTGAAAATGCCAAAATACTCATCAGTTAACCCAGATCCACTTTTTCCCCCTTTACCTACAACAGACATGTGTGACTTTCATACAAAGGACTAGAATGTTTTAGGTCATCTTGGTATGTAATCATCTTGGTATGTAAAAGCCTTGGCCCCTATTTCCCATCAATCTAATAAGTTTTTCTGGTCACTAGGTCCAAGGCCTGCATACCAACCAATAGTGGCTCCCACCCTGGTGCTATAGGGGAGACAGATAAAACTCTCCCCTTATGTCTTCACTCTCCTGTGTCCCAAGAAAACGGTATACTGGGAGCTTGGGAAAATATAATATGGGAAAACTATGTTATAGGGGTAAATCTCATTGCAGGCCCGATTTAATAAGCCTTTGCTCATTTATACATTTCTGTATATGTACTTCTAGTGATTCAGTGAAGATGCCACAATTCATTCAATAAATTTTTGAGTGACTTCTCTGTGCCAGGGGAATGGGAATGCATCAGTATACAAAACAGACA